GTACAAGTGTATTGAACTTTTTAGTGGCACCCAAATTGATTAGCCTATCTCTACAAATGTAAAAAAAATTATTAAAAAAAACTTTTATTCATTCATTCTATTCAATTTTTTTATTCATTCATTCATTCACACATTCATTAATTTTTTCATTCATTTACTCAATCCTTCCTTTTTACCTTCATTCATTCATTCATAAAAATTATTCAAAAAATTCATTCAACAATAAACTTCATTCATACATTCATTCATTTGACACTTTTTGTTGTTCATTCGCTCGTTCAGCTGCTGTGTATGACGTCACGACGAGGAAGCAAGCGTCGCTATGGCAACCGACAATTTCCCATTCATCATGCCAATGTACGTCGGCGCGCTTTCAAAATGGACGAGGTGTATTTTTTCTCTCCCATGGAATAAAATTTCAATTCCTTGGTCACTCTTTCTTAACACATTTTCTTTCTCTCTCTTTCTTTTTTCCTCTCCCCGTCTTTCTCCTTCTCTCTCTCTCTCTCTATTCTTTCTTTAATATTTCTTTTATCTTTAAGACCTAAATTTTAGAAAAATTATTTTTCAGGAGTTTTTTATCAATTCATTTATTTAAATACGTATTATTAGTTGTTACATTAACAGGCAAATTTTTTGTCTGGCAAATCTGTCGTTCTTTTTCTATTTATATCTCTTTCTCTCTCTCTTTCTCTCTCTCTTCTCTCTTTTTTTTCCCTCTTTCTCTTTCTCTCTCTGTCTCTTTCTCTCTCTTTCCCTTTCTCTCTCTCTATCAGTGTCTGGTAGTATTTTATCTTCATAAATTATTGGCTATTTCATCTTTGCCAGATTCTTTCCTAATGTTTAACGTTCCTCTTTCTACGTTTTTTTTTGGTTCTCTCTGTTCAACTTTTTCACTCTCTCACTCTCTCTCTTTTTTCTCCTTCTCTCTCTTTTACTCGCTTTCCCATTTTTTATCTCTTATCTCAGGTTTTTCTCTTTCTCTATCTCTCTCTCTCTCTCTCTCTCTCTCTCTCTCTCTCTCTCTCTCTCTCTCTTAAATATACGCGGAGAAAAGTTCATACATCGGTGTATGTATAGTGTGTGTGTAGGTGTGTGGTGTGTGTAGGTGTGTGTGTTGTTGCTTGCTTGTTAAAATGTTTGTGGACGTGTCTGTGTGTAGGCAAACTTTTGTGGTGTGTGTGTTTGTAAGTGTATATCGATTTTTTGAGCGTTTCGAATGTTTTTTTGCCTGTTACTAATGATTTTTTGACAACCACACAACAATCACAAAACAACCACACAACAACCACACAACAACCACACAACAACCACACAACAACCACACAACAACCACACAACAGCCACACAACAACCACACAACAGCCATACAACAGCCACACAACAACACTCGTAGAGTGAGGGTTGAAATTAATGATGTCACATCAACAACAAAGTGCATCCAACACATGCACCTACAACAGATAAGAAGTTTCACCATAAATTTTTGTTGTTGTACATTTGAATAAATTACAACAACAACATTAACTACTCTGACATTAACCACATCTCACGATAACATTAAAGTTAATAATAACATCAACAATATCAGCGAAGACGTCAAAATTATTAAAAAAAATTACACTAACAACTACAAATACAACTTCAACTACCTTGACAACACCAACAACAACATCAATAACAACTTCAACAACATCAACAACTTCAAAAACAACTTCAACATCAACAAGAACAACAACATCAACAAGAACAACAACATCAACAACAATTTCAACAACAACAGCAACAACATCAACATCAGTGACATGAACAACATCAAAAAAACCTCCAACAAGACAAGCAACAAATTACAGGACTGCTATTCAGTTGTGATTAAATCTCACTGGGCATGCGAGGTCTCTCAAATGTTTGTATGTAAGTATGTAAGTATGTATGTACGTACGTTTGCATGTGTTTGTGTTTTGTCTACGGCTGTTGATCAACCAACCCACAAACCAACCAAACATTCAACAGACCAACCAGCCAACCAAACATTCAACAGACCAACCAACCAGACAAACAACCAGCCAGCTAGTCAGCCATCCAACAAACAGTCAGCCAACTAACCAACCAGTCAGCCAACCAACCAACGACAAACCAACCAACCAACCTACCAAACTCAAAGCATTTGAACTGTTTTCACGCAGAAAATAATTTAAATAACACTCCAGAGATTGTGCATGAAACATGAAACACCGTTCCTCACTGGAGATTTGAACCCGAGAACCACGCGCTATCTATCTCTTATCGCGGAAATTTCATTTCGAAACATAAAATTAAAAATGAAACAATGTTACTAAAAAATTCTTTCATGTGTGTGCGTGTCTGTGAGCTCTGAAACTCACAAAAATGTTGGACGTTTCTTTGATATAAAGACATAAAACTACAAAAAAAATACAAAAGAGTACTAAGTTTTTCAAAAAAATTGTTCTTTTCTTGGTGGAAACATTAAAAAACAAACATTCAAAAGAAAAATATAATTACCTGTCTGCTGGGAAAATAAATATTTACAGTTTCAGTAAGAGTGTGAAAAATCTCTACTATGCATAGGATGCTGAATTATTTAAGTCTGCTGAATGGATGGATGAAGTTTTGTATACTGCATACCCGTTTTCAACCTCTCTCTCTCTCTCTCTTTCTCTTTCTCTCTCTCTCTCTCTCTCTCTCTCTCTCTCTCTCTCTCTCTATTTCCTTCTATCTTTCCATTTCTTGTGCGATGTCATTTTTGCATTCTTTTATCAGTCTTTTTTCCTCTTTTAGGTTTCATCTTTTTATCCCCCTCTTACAACCTCTCTCTTTCTCTCTCTCTCTTTCTCTTCTCTCACTTTTTTTCTAGTACTCTCTTCCATTTTATCTACGGAATCATCGCCCCCCGCCACATCAAACAATGTAACATACAAAAAAAAATTATTACCCAGCAAACAAACAACCAGTCGAGGAGAATAAAACAACATAGGTGATTAAACTTATAGAAGCCGGACATTGTACTATTGCTAAGATGTGTGTGTGTCTGTGTGTGTGTTTGTGTGTGTGTGTTTGTGTGTGTGTGTGTGTGTGTGTGTGTGTGTGTGTGTGTGTGTGTGTGTGTGTGTGTGGTATATGCGTAGTACAGGCCCTAATTAAATTGGTTGTTTTATTGGTTTTATAAATTTTTTAAAATGATGCATTTGGGTAGTTATTCTTTTTGTGTTTGCCTAGAGCGTGAATATATAATGCGCATAAATAACGCACGCACACACACATACATACACATACAAACATACACACACACACATGCATACACACATAAACACGCATACATGTGAAAACCCAGCTTGTATCTGTATGTACTATTTTGTTTAATGTACTCAAATATATGCGTGTCTGTCGTGTCTGTGTGTGTGTAAATGTGTTTGTTGGTGAAGTGTGCGTGTGTGTGTGTGTGCGTGTGTGTGTGTGTGCGTTATTGTGTGGGTGTGTGTGAAAAGCCCTTTAAAAAAATAACAAATTTCCGAAAAATCTGTCCCCGACATCAAGTGATCCACTTACATAAAACTTTCTGAGATTATTTATTTTTATTAAGAAACCTTGGAAGTTATAAAATGCATATTTAATGAATTGAATAATAATAATTTTATGTAATTAACAATATAATAATGTTAATAATAATTATGATAATAGTTTTTTAAGCAAATATGATACTTTTTATCAAACTTAACATAAAAAATATTATTATGATAATTTAGGTTAGGAGACTTAAGTAAATATAAGTTGTATATAGATATATGTGTTAAAGTAAGCAATTATAATTATAATAATGATAGTTAAGTTATAATAGTAATTCACAACGAGACAGCAAATTTACAGACATAAAGCATTTCAATATAAGATAATATAACGTATAATTGATCAGAGCATGTAATACTTTGTACAATAAGAATGAGATGGTAGGATGGAGTTAGACAACTAGTTAAGCTCCAGAGAGGAAGGTCTCCCTCCTGGTATATAATAGGCAAGCGCAGGAGTTAAGAAGCGCAAGTTACCTTAGTTAAGAATTAATGGGCGAGTCGTTTCTCGTTCGATTTCGATTATTTTAAACTTACTTTATAACATTTTAAACATTAACTAATTCTCTACACACGAAAGTCGTTAATTAAAGTCGCTTCTCATTATTATATGTACATGAACAATTTCGAGTTATTTAACATTGAGCGAGCGGGTTTACAGAAACAGAAAGAGTTCCCTCAAGAACAAACTATGTTGATCGTTCAGAAACAGTCGTAGAACGGTGAAGAGCGAGCAGTATAACAATATTCGTTGAAAATATACAAATTCACATAGTACATGGATTCGTATATTTATTTCCAAAGGTTGAAAATTTATTTTGAATGATTTATTTTAGTTTCAAACTGTAAAGTTTAAAATCGTTCCGAATATGGCATTACTCTTTTGTTTGTTATCCAATGCAATTTTTAGTCTAATTAAATGAAGTTAGTTGAAATGACAATAACAACAAACACAAAAACATCATCAACAACAACAACATCAGATACTACTACAACAATGAAAACAATAACAACAACAACAACATTAATAGCATCAACTGCAACGGTAAGGATGAAAAAAACCGAGTTTATCAGTGTTGTTTTTCTGTAACATTAAACCTTCATTCAATATATCTACTTTTGAGTAAACACAAACACACACACGCACGCACACACATACACACGCACACACATACTCTTTCTCTTTTTGTCATGGAATACATCTTCGCGTTCGACGAATTGTGTCATTGATGAGTCCTTTGATGCGAGAACAAGCCTATTCTTGATGAACATCGACGACCACAGGTTCCGCAAACCCACACCCCTGTGCTGTTACCATCCCGGGCCACCTGCCTGCTTACGCCGTCCTCTTTTTCCAACTAGAGCTGCAATGCGCGCCTCCTCAAAGGCGGAAACTGCCGCTTGTGAGCGTGTCTTCCACTGTGAACGCTCGAGCGCAACGACACCCAAGGTTTTAGAATCCAGTCCGACATTTTTTAGGTTTTCCTTCAGATTATCTTTAAATCTGCGAACTGGACCGCTTGCAAGGCGAACTCCAGAAGCCAGCTGTCCGAAAAACGCCTGTTTGGGAATTCTTGTGTCCGGCATGCGGATAACGTGTCCCGCCTAACAAAACTGTGCCTGTAACAAAAACGCCTCAATAACCAAGATACCACACATTTCCAATACAGTCGTATTTGGCACCCTATCCTCCTATTTAACGTTAGCGATAACCCGTAGACATCTCATATGAAACTGATCGAGTCTACGTATATGGCGCCTATAAGTAATCCATGTCTCACATCCATACAACATTGTGGTTAACACAACTGCCTTATAGACAGATATTTTAGTAGCCAGCGACACACCCCGTTCCTTCCAGAGTCGTCCACTCAAACCACCAAAAGCAGCACCAACCTTGGCAATCCTAACCGTAATTTCATCATCGATTGCAGTAGTGTTGGAGAGGTAGCTACCAAGGTAGCAAAATCGATCCACAGCGTTCAACTGCGAGCCACCAATAGTTACGATGGCTTTAGAATCCGACGAAATAGGATAGCTTTGGTGCAGAACCTCTGTTTTCTTCCTGCTCACCGTGAGTCCAAACCTTTCTGCAGTAGTGTGGAAACAGTTGAACTGAGCCTGAACTTCACTTTGTGTATGTGCAACCAAAGCGCAGTCATCCGCAAAGAGCAGGTCGCGGACTATTGTGGTTTGTGTTTTTGACTTCGTCTGTAGGCGTCTGATGTTGAAAACGTCTCCATCCATGCGATAGCAGATTGAAATGCCCTCTACACAATGTTGAAAGGCGACTCGAAGCATTAGGGAGAAGTAAATGTTGAACAGTAAGGGAGCTATGACACACCCCTGCTTGGTACCATTCGTCACCTCAAAGTCCGGGGATCGATCACCATTTTCAACTACGGTTGCCCTCATGCCTTCATGAATGATAAGGGCATCCTTAAAATCTTGAGGAACCGATTTCCTATCCCACATGTCTTGGAACATTGTCACCATCCTGGTTTTAAGTTCGATGACACCACATTTGAAGAGTTCTGCCGGCAGCCCGTCCAAACCCGGAGCTTTTCCATTCGACATTTGGGTGATTGCTTTTTCCACTTCAGACAGGCTAGGGGGATCATCGAGATCACCTGCAATGCTCCAGTCAGGCAACTCAGCAAGGACTGAGTCATCAAACCGGGATTCTTGATTTAGCACACTGTTGAAGTGTTCAGCCCAACGAGCCAGGATTCCATGGCCATCCTTGATGAGTGTTTGACTATCTTTAGACAGTACCGGGACACTACCGGAGCTGCGGGGACCAAACACAGTTTTCAGATTTCTGTAAAATGATTTCATGTCTCCGCGACCGGCCGCTACTTGCAATTCATCAGCTCTGGCAGACCATCAAGATTCCTTCATCTGACAAAGCCTCCTCTGTGCAAAACTGCGTGCTTGCGTGTAGCATGCTTTCTTGACGCAGTTGCCCCTGTCATCTATCCAAGAAAGATGGGTGCTGTGCATGTTGTCCAGCAGCCCACGTGCCTCCGTATCCTGATCGTCGAACCAGTCCTTAGGCTTAATATGCTGATATCCAAGCACACAATCTGCTTGAAATTTGACCATTCTGTGCTCTCATTTGTTGAAAACTCACCACACAATGCTTTGCGGAACAAATTTCTAGCTGACGGTTCTGTTAGCCGAGTCACATCCAGTTTGGCTTTCTTTACAGTTTTGTGATGCCTTCTGACTGGTTTAACAGTAAGAAACACCGACATCTTGATGAGGCGATGATCTGACCACATTGTTGATGCTCGCACCGCTTTAGTTAGACGAGCGAGACGAAGATCGCGTTGTCTGATAAGTATGTAGTCGATGAGATGCCAGTGTCCTGAACGTGGATGTTTCCAGCTAGTCTTCTTCCTGTCAGCCTGTTGGAAGACTGTATTTGTCACCACAAGATTGTGCTCTGTACAAAATTCGAGGAGCATGGTTCCATTTGAATTTTCCCTACCAACTCCATTTCGTCCAAGCACTTTTGGCCACAAGATGTGGTCTTTACTCACACGGGCGTTAATATCACCTAAGACAAACAACTGATGGTTGTGTGGTGTTGAACGAACAGCGTCACCGAGCTGCTCATAAAACAAGCTCTTTTCCTCAAAAGTTGCTCCAATCGTTGGCGCATAGCAGCTGATCAAGGTAGCAGTGTGACCACCCTCCAGGTTGAGCCGCATCCTCCTTAGGCATGGTGAAATACCATAAGGTACCTCCTG